CAGGAATCCTATAGAATTGCATCGGTTTGTATGATATTTCCACGTTCGTGTCGGATCCGACGTCGGATCAGTCGACCTGGGCCGCTAAAGCAGAATGGAGTAAATATTGTTTCTCGTTTATTTATATATATAATATGATAGAGCTTGAAAAGCTGATCAAGAATATTTTTTTTTCGATCGATCTTTTTTGGCTGAGAAAATCTTAAAAAACTAGAACGACTGGAAAAAAAAACTTTTCATGTTAAATTTTGTATTTTTTTACAAAAATTACCAAATTTCGATTCCAGTTAGTTATTTTCTGAACACTTTTAAAGTACTATCTTCTGAATCAACATGAAAAACTGAATAGGAAAATGTTATTTGGTTACAGGTAGACCTAAAAAAGAAAAACATNTTTCTCAAAAAAATAAAATTCAATCAAATATATATGTGAGCTGATGTAGATTTTAACGCTGATTCCGAATATGCTATTGGTTCTGCCTTGTACCTTAGTTATTGTTATGAAAACTGGCCAATAAATGCACATTTTTCGTCCATTTGCTACATAGTATCACCCAACAGGGAAAAAATTCAAATTTCTCAGCAAAAAGAGCAAAATTTTAAAAACAAAATAATAAAAATTGTAGCCCATAATTTGGAGATTCTAATGAGATGAGACAATTGTTTCTACCTCTTCTTACAAAAAACTAGATAGCTTTACAAAAACGCTCTCTGACGCATACTTTTCGTCTGATGGAGCTATCTATATGAGATAAAACAATATTCATGTCCATGAAAAGGAACATGGCAAGTAGATGTAACTATAAAATAGACGGGGATATTCATGTGCCAGTATGTGCACAAATGAAGTATACTTATTAACAAGCAAATCAACATATTTAGTTTCTTCGTGTCGAATTTCGAAGGAACGCATGATTCCATCACACAAAATGTATAATTTTCAAAGTTCTTGATTAATTTTTCTTGCAACAGAGCTCAATAAAATGAATACTACTCAAATGGCTATAAGCTTAAAATATTCTCTCCGCTTGATGAACGCTTGGTATGACAAACTAAAATAAATGCTTACATTATTGACAAAGAAAAAGTGCTTCTTCTGGTCGAAGTTGAATTTCCATCATATATAAACAAAAGGAGCAGAAAACGACATTACGGTAAAATCAGTAGGCACTAAATATTTCTTTGTAGGAAGATCCGGAATACGTGAATCCGGTGCACGTTCAACGATAACTGCACATCGATCAGGATATTCGCGACGAATACGTTCGCCTGAAGACAATTTTCAAAGAAAGAAAATTTTTATTTTGTTTCTCATACCTTCAGCCCGACCATTTTCATAAGGATTATTAGTTTTGAATATCCTGCTGTTTTGCATATTAACAAATGTTTCCATTCAAAAATTCATCAACACTTTCAACATCGCGAATCTCACAATCCTCGAGTACCGCAAGTATCGCAAGAGGTGCTGGTGTTTCACCTTCTTGATTTTGCTACAAATTGCTTTTGCGTTTAAGTTAATGATTTTGTCGCAAAATCAAATTCCCCATCATATGCGAAAAGGCGCAATAAAATCGAGATCTCGATCTTGAAATCTATAAGTTTTTTTCGGCATATGGCAAGACACATGAATCATTCAGGCAATTGGTTTGATAATCGTAAAAGAGTTTGGTACAGTAGGAAAAAAAAAGATCATATATAGAATATTTTTAATCTTAAACGAAGAGTTATAAATGCTTCAATAAAAAAAGAATATTTGAACAAAATTTACTCTATCGATTTTGTTGTCCGTTTTCTTTCAATGCCACATAGAAAATATTATATTTATAAATCTCACAAACTCTATCGATCTTCAAGGATCTTAAACTTCAATAAAACAGTTCAGAACATTTATCGTAATTCACATGCACTGGTCGTTCTACGGATGTCACAACTAAAGTCAATCTTTTCACTATGACTTAAATAGAACATCATATGTAATTAGATGCAATGGCTTTTCTATTAAATGCATTTGGATGTCAAAAAACCTTTAAGTTATTTGAAAACATGGAAATAGTTTATAATTTAGACTTTAAAATTCTTTGAACACTGCAAAGTGATATGAATTAACTATTTGATAGAATAACACATGCACATTTGATTATTTAAACAACGATGCTAAGAGGATTCAACAGCGACAACAAGTTTATTACAATCAACTTCACTGTAGCGAAACGATAAGCTATGAGTTTGTCTGTTGTTTTGTTCTCTTTTTCTACATTTGTGTGTTCGAGTTACTAATTCTGTTTTACCACGTTATCATCAGAGCGTACCCTTATCATCAATAATAACAAGAGAATGTGAGTCATCTTTGTTGATAACTAAAATATAGATACAAGTGAAGGTAGATGCTTTGTTGTAGACTTTATTTTGTTTTTATTTAAAAAGAAGTCACTGTGATATAACAGGTAAATCAACAACTAGATGGGAAACGAATGTTGTAAAAAACAACCAAGAAAAATACCACATCCGCCTCATCATCCACCATCAGAAGAACCTTCCGATGACGACACAGAAAATGGTGGTGTTAATGATCTTTCAACCAAACCTTTATCTATAAATAGAAAACACAAACCTAGTGACATTAAAGTTGCTGATGAGGAAGCTTTCAATGATCCGTTTATTCAACAACGTCAAAAGGCAATAGATAATAGTTCGTATCGATCGAAAATTGAATCATGGCAGCCAAGCTCACTTGAACATCTTTCACGTTTGATCAAAGATCTATCTAGAGGTAAATCAATAATTGATCGTCATTGGATTATATTCTATTGGATTGCATTTAATATTCAATATGATACAGTATCTTATTTTTCAAAAGATTATAAAGATCAAACAGCAGAAGGAGTTTTTCTATCAAAGAAAGGTGTTTGTGCTGGTTATGCTAATGTTTATAAGTATCTATGTGATCAATTGGAACTGCCATGTGAAGCCGTCGGTGGATATTCGAAAGGGTATGGATTTGACGATCGAGACGGTGCAAAATCAATGGAAACTGATCATGCATGGAATGTTGTTGAAATTTATCATCATTGGTATCTAATGGAGTCAACATGGGGCGCTGGACATCTTGATGACCAAAAACAATTTAAACGTGAATTGGCATCATACTATTTTCTTCCACGTCCAAACGAAATGATTTATCATCATTTACCAGAAGATCCAAAATGGCAATTGCTAAAAAGTCCAATTAACAGGGAACAATATTTACAATTGCCGAAACTTCGTCCAGATTATTTTGAATTTAAACTTGATATGATTCAGCCACGGTATCGATGTTTTATTGATTTCGAACAAAATAAATCCTATGGATTGATTATTATGAGTGCACCAGTTGGAATAACTCTGACAGCTAATTTAAAACAACATGATAAAGTTATTCCATTTAGCGATCAAACTATTTTTAATAAAAAGAAACGCTGCCATTATTGTTACTTTGCCCCACCTAATATCGGTCAATACAGAGCTAATGTTTATGCAAAACATGATGATACAGATGTTGGCGTTTATCGATGTGTACTTGATTTAAAATTTGATGTAAAAGCAATGCCTGAAAATCCAATAAGTTATCCAAAACTTTGGAAGAACTTTTTTGATTATAGAATAGATATTCTTTCACCATTAAATACACATTTAATCAATATTGGCAAGAATAAGAAATATGGAGAAATAATACTGCGTACACGACCGGACGTCGTATTATTAGGTGAACTTAAAAATGAAAATGAGGAAATAATAAAGGGTGGCGATCAAGTTTATTATGATAGAGAAAAAGATTTTTGGAGGTGTCAATTTGCTCCGAATAAAAATGGACTCTTCAATGCACTTATACTTGCTAAGAAAAAATCCAATCCGGGCAGTTACACTTCTACTATACTATTTCAAATTAATACCAACAATGCTTTACGACACTTTGTATCGTTTCCAAAGACATGGGAAACTTTTTATAATCTTGGTTTGAAAATAGTATCTCCAATTGATGAAGGTATCATTGTATTAAATGATAAAACACCATATGCTAAAATACTTATTAAAACTCCGAAAGACATTCTTCTATTGAGTCAACTGCAAAACGAAAAAAATGAAGAGATTTCCAATGGGGCAAACATTCATTATGATGCCGATGAAGATAAATGGTTATGTACATTCGCACCTGATCAACGTGGAATCTTTGAAGGCCTTATTCTTGCTAAGAAAAAATCTGATTCAGAACTTTATACTTCTGCTGTATCATTTACTCTCGACGTAAAACAACGTTCTTCGAAAGCAGTTTACTTACTTGATACTACTCAAGTTTATTATGATCTGAGTCTTGAAGTCTTACCTCCACATGATCAAAATAAAATTATCTTGCCGGAAAAAAACAATTACGTTGAAATATGTTTAAAAACTCCTGATACTGTTGATCTTCTTGCTAAATTGAAGAACTCGACTAAAACGGAAATTCCATATTCATATCAACTTTATTATGATCGACATAAAAATATTTGGCGTTGTAAATTCGCACCCAATAATAAAGGTATTTTCTATGCTACTATTTTGGCCAAGAAAAAGTCTGAACGTGGTCTATACTCAGCTGCTGTTACTTTTCCCATCGAAGTGAATCATATCCCTTCATCAAATTTAACATTTCCAACTACTCTACAATCATTCTTTGATTATGATCTTAAAATTAAATCACCACGCTCACGTGCCTCACCTAAATGGTCAGAAAAATCATCGTATACCGAAGTTCTTATTCAAGCACCCGATGATATTCAATTATCTTCTAGTATGCAACGCAATAAGATGCCTGTAGAAAACGGTTCATTGGCGCAATATGATCATGAAAGACAACTTTGGCAATTTTTATTTGCACCTGAACAAACAGGTTCACATGAATTAATTATTTTTGCTAAACGAATCAATGACACAGATACAGCAGCTGGTGCAGTTGCTATTTTTCCATTGAATGTTACAAAAGTTGAACAGCCAATGAAATTCCCTCTGATTTATACACATTTTGAAACAACAAAATGTCAAATTTACAATCCTCTATATGGAATTTTGAAACGAAATACAACTGTACCAATTCATTATTGTATTCCTGGTGCAATATCTATTATGATAACAGCTGGAGCTAGAACACTTCGAGGTGAAGGTTATACAGATCCGATTTTTCAACGTGAAATAACTGTTGGTTCTGAAGAAATTATTATTCATGCAAAATATGGGCAAAATCCGCACTATACGACTTTGATAAAATATTCTGTTGAATAATTTTCTATAAAAATAAAAATGTTAATATAAAAACAAAAAAAATACACAATAAAGGAGATTAATTCTGAAATCTAAATTAAATGCTTTTTAGAATTCAACCATAAAAAATAAAGGAAATAAAAATAAATATTATTGCAGAAATAAATCTGATTTGTTAATTTATGTCTTGTCGATGCTAAATAAGTTGATGATGTTTAGCGCGGGTCGATAAATCTATTTTCGGTTCACCATATAAGATACGATGACGAACATCGCGGATAAGCTCCGGTATAAAACGGTAGACTGGATATTGAACAGGAATTCTTGAAAGTATGGCTTCTTCTTTTAAAAAATATCTATTCAACAACAAAAAAAAGAGCGTTTCGTAGGAATTGAAACTTTTATTTTAATTATTTACTTGAAATCTTCGACGTATTGATCACGAATGTATTGAGATAATATTGTTGAATTAGCTAATAACATTGATAAAATTGAAAAAAATTGATAAACATATAATGCATGTTTTGGACTTAAAGGATCCTATGGAATATTATTGAAAAAAAATTCAAGTTAAAAGATTCATTTTTTTGTTTCAAGAAAAAAGTTTTACGTTCTTCTCGTTGTTAATTATCATTCTTGTTATTGCATCGATAAATAATTCAAAATATTCATCCTAAATATTGATATGCATAGATATACACGATAATAGAAATTCAATATTTATTATACCTAATAAAGAAAGATTCGTTTAGGATTTTCATATGCTCAGTGTATAGTTCAAAATTTAGTCTGTTTAATTTTTCTATGAAATAGAGCGTCTCAAATATGATTGTTTCCTTATACTACTATCTAGAATAAGTTGTGTAAAGTGAACCGTTATTCAATTATTAAACTAGGAAAATATGACGTTTTATTTTAGTTCAATGAGTAAGCTTTTGGAATTGACTAATTACTTATAAATTCATAAAAAGATGTACTCAGTAGTTACATTAGAGAGAGTTAATTGTACCTATAATTCTTGAGGTGCAACAAGAAAAATTCTAGTAAAGATTTACCTTAAGTTGTACTTGTTCAAATGATTCAATAAAGTGTCGAAAACGAAAAATTTTCGTCGTCCATGATGGCCGACGAACGATGTCGCCGATATGCCATAATAGAGAAGTTGACATAAACATCCATTTCAATACTGTTCTGTACGCGTTCTAAATTTAGACATTTTTGTTTTTGAAAAGTTAAATTAAGTAATGCTAATTTAGATTGAATAGTTTACTTTCAGCATGTCATTAAATCCTGAACCATCGGATGTTGTTCGTACGGTTGGAAGTAAAGCGATCGGCGGTGTCAAAAGACAATTAGCAAGAACTTGAATTTGTGAGCACCTAGTATAAGAAATATAATACTAATTTTCAATCTACAGAAATTTTTATCAATTTTGCACTCGCTTATCACTAAATAGTTGCATGGAAATATTTTTTTAGATGTAAAATGCCGTTTAAATCGTGACTACATGCATTATTTAGGACATAATTGTGCATAGTACATCGGCAGATCGCGATTGTCAAAATCATTTTTTTTATTAAGATTTGTCTCTACGCAAAGAAATCGTATCCCTCTATATGTTCACATAATTGTGTTGAAAGCTTCTGGCATACAACTGAGCCTCGACATTAATAAGCTTAAAGTCTAAACTTCTTCTCAGATAGTTCATAACTATAGAAAATCCAAGGACATTCTTTTGACCTTATGCAATAATAAAATAAACAGTACTCAATTAATAACAAAGTGGTTGAATTACGCTTCGAAGAGTAGAGAGGAAAGAAAAAAAATCTTCTTTCTTCAATATAGTCAGACGTACATTTGATATTCAAGAAAAATGCTGCCGGTGATACACTATAATTTTCTTTCAATTATTGGACTCAACATTTCAAGGTGATTCAAAGTTCAGTGGAACTTAAAAATGAAGTAAATAAAATCTTAAAAGATTATATAATTATAATTTCGTATTTACTATTTCTGTTATGAGTTAAAGAATTATATAATATAGTGCAATTAAAACATACAATACTCTTTCTCTTGTCAACATTAAAAAGAAGAAATTTTGCTTGACTTTCTATGAATGATCTTCCGAGTGGTTTACTCTGATTAATTCATCCGGAACGTATAGAATTTCCTTAGAAATAAATCTTCTCTATAGTTCAGTCGGTAGAATAATTTCATTACTTCAACAATAATGTTTCTGCAAAAAGTTAGCAGTCTGATAAAAACCTAGCAACTTCTAGAGTCTACAGCAAGAAATTTAGTTGCTCATTCATCCTCAATATCGCTTACTGATTGTCTGTTACTCGTGCTTGTCGTTCAGTTGATACAAATGTATTCAAAAACACTTCATTTAATAGTCCCATAATTGAAAACGAAACACTAAAAAGTTCAAAATCAAATTGAAACAAGTGCAAACACCTTTCTATCCTACTCTATTGTACTATCATCAAATTCATTCTTTGATATAGCTTGAGAACATGTATTCAATTCTGCAATATAATAAACAAATAAATCTTGATCCTAAAAATGAATTTCAAAACCAAAAAAGTTAACATCAATATGAAAATATTAATAACAAACCTTCCAAAAAAGTTCTTTCACTTGAGGATATCGATCACATGCAGTACATAATTCTCCTGTTAATCCAATTAATTGATTAGGATTTTTATACGAATGTAAGATTTCAGTTTTTAGTTGAGAAAATTTCGTCATTGTAACATCAACTCTAGACATTTCAAATAGAAATGAAATTGTTTGTTATCTAAATATCATATACAAAAGCGAAGCAAACATACGAATATTGAAGGCGAGCATGTGATAATATTGAAAATTCGGGATCACTTTGAAAACGTAATGTTGCAATAACAACATAATTACTTAATGCTGCACTTAATATTTCTGGAATTTTTGCATTTAAACTAAGAAAATAGATATCGACTTCTCTCATATCTTCTGCAATATCATCGCGAAGACTAAAATGAGAAAAAAATGTTACCAGTAAAAATTTCGCATAGATAATTATTTTATTTTAACATCTAAATAAACTACCAAACAGAAGACTATTGCTAAGATCAATGAAATCAACTATACATACTATCAATTTATATAAGCTTTTTTTGTGTCTCGCTGCAAGCAAAAATATTAAGCGATAATTGGGAATGATGAAGTCATTAGATGGGTTCATAAAGGAAATCTTCCTTGTTTAAACTATACCTGCGAACTTCTTCCACTGATGGACAATAGATAGCTGATTCTTCACTATTAGTAGCACTAAGAGTCATACTACTCGTATAGGATAAATCTGTTAATGTTGATCGAGCTGTTGATAGTGTCATGTCATCGTTCATATGTGAACGTGGTGTTCCACGTGATGTACTTCGTGGAGTATGTAAAGTGCCGTAGCGATCATCTTTGTGTACTTGTAATGCATAACGATTAAATCTTGGTGAGTCTGAATTCCAACTTGAATCACTGTTTATCTTTTTTTTCGATGATGCTTTAGCTGATTTTGATCTGAGCATTAGTCTCTGCTCATTAGATAATGTTCGTGGTGTTGAAAGTAAACTTTGAATAGTTGAACGATCAGTATCAAGATTTAAATCTTCAAGACGTTCTTGAAATTCCAATGAAGCATTACCCATTCCCGATGCTGACAATTCATCAGTTCGTCGAGATGAAGACAGTGGTTCTTTTCCCAGCGTTGCTGTTGATGGTGATGATAGAAGAAATGGAATAGCAGCTGAAAGTTGTGGTAATGATGCTTGATATACATCATGATTTGATGTTGTTCGTCTATAAATCAGATTTTCAATAAAACTTCAAGGTGAAAAAATAAATCAAATATCTTAGATAAGAATTTAGAATTTATAGTTATCTAGGATTTATGTTCGCTTGCATAGATTTACATTCTTTACAGCTCTATCGATACACTCAAAACAAAAACGAGATACTATGTGCTTTTGCTTGCTATTGAATAATTGATAAAGCGGATTGAATTACGATTATGTAAAAATATTTCATTGTGAAGATTTTTTTAACTCATTCAACCTGAAATTTTCGCCAACTAAAAAAATAAAGCTTTGCTTTTACCTTGGAGTTATTGGTTCCATATAACTATTAATATTTTCTAAAATGAATGGATTCATTAAACTTGGTATTGTATCCATGTCTTCCGCGTTTATTGATTTCGACTTTTTATTTCTATCTTTTTTACTTTTATTTGATGGCATTATAACACGTAAACGCATATGTAATGCATTTGTTTTTTCATTTCCAAATAGAAAATCTGGATAATCATCAATCTAAATATTCAATAATACTTTTTTCTTTGTTTTTAAATTTTGTCATTTATACGAACTATTTCTGCGCGTAGAATATCACGATAATGAATAAATGGTTTTTCCAATTGAGCTGTCTTCGGTGGATTATCCGATAAATACAGTGATTCAAGGCCCAACACAATCAAACGATAATTTATACTCTTTCCTTGCTTTTCTATGCATGCATCATAACCGAGTAGTTGATCACCGGGTTTAGATATTAAATATCGAGCTAATTTAGCTTCGAATTTAGTATTTTTTGTTACCATATATTGAGTGCGCACTGCAGGTGACGACATTTTTTTTATTGTGGTTATAAAAATTTTTGTGTTGTTGTTGAGATTATATTTTGACGTGAAAACAATGTGTGAGATAGATAAAATTACTCTTGACTTCTAGGGGAGAAAAGAAAAATTACAGGAAGCAAAAGCCGTCATCATGATATTGTTTGTGAATTTATCACGCCCGATCAATGGCAGTAGAGACACCATTAAGCTTCGTGTTTCTTACGTGATACCTTCTCTAAGATTTTAATGCTTTTTATCATTGGTAAATGTCGAGCCAATCGAAATTTTTACTAGCAAACATAGCTGGAAGGAGAAAAGTCATTCTTTTTTAAAACGCTACAGCAATTATTGCCAGAAGGTGTCTGCAGAAAATGCTAAAATCAATAAAGGAAGAGGTGAATCATTTTCGAGACTGATGAGTAGAGGTTTAATAAAATTGAATAGGTTCGTAAAGTAGCATATTTTCTTCTGACCATGGAGGACTAGAATAAAAATTCTGAAACTGTATTAAAGTAAATCAAGATTAAAGCTTTCTATGCCTTATAGATCAGTCAGAATCGGCTTCTCTTAATTGCTTCGTTGTTATCTCATAAAGGACATGTTTTGAAAGTTGTCTATGTTATCATTCACAAACTAGTTTATCTTTAGATTTTGCAAAAATGAATTGTAAAGTAAATGTAAAGAAATCAAATTCAAATAAACACTAATGAAAGTTTTAAAAGGATTCTAAAAGAATTGTTGCTTTCGTCGAAATACAATGTTATCTCAGATCTGAAGATAAAATAATAGTCATAAAGTTTACCTTTTTCGTACGGTAGAATATTAAAAATATTTTGTACTTAAAGATAATAGGTACAACAAACATCTGAGAATTTCATGAAGGAAAATTTAAACCCAAGCATCATTGATGAAAGTAATTCGAGCTATGTGATGGAAATTTGATGTAGAAAGTCTCATGCACATGAATATAACCCAACAAGAAAAGAACTATGTAATCAACTCTTCTAGGCTTCCGCTAATCTGTATAGTGTGTATTTAATGAGGTAATATTCATCTAACGTAAGAAGTAGTTTTATCAGCTGATGAGACTCTCATTATGTCACTATTTCTTAGTCGCCACCTACGCCGTCGTTTATGATAAATACGGAAGTCATGAAAGTAATAAGAATCAAACAGCCGAAGACATATTTTGTCCGTTTATCAGTTGAACGCTTCAATAGCAACAGAATATTTATTAAACTAAATGCACTATTCGACGAATCATTATGAATCAAGATAATGGAGTTGGATTGTGACACCGCGGTTTTCTCCAGTCTATTGAAGTAAACTATTTTTAAAATTAGAAAAGTCTTAATAAGTCAGAAGTGTATCTATATACTTTTTTTGGTAGACGTTTGATAAGTTTAATATTAAAGAGTTGCAAGAAATGAATTTCTCTTACTTGTGTAAAACATCCAAGGGTACCATTTCGACTGCATGTAATTAAAGTATTGCTCTATCAATTTTCACTGTAATCCGCCAAAGTTTATTAGAAGTCGGCTCTGCTATTAACTTCATCGCTTATAAATTTACGGAAAACGGCAGCATACTAATGCTGAGATTTTCCCATGCAAATTGCTATGTTTTCGAGCTAAACAAATTCTTTTTCTTTTCTACTCATAATCACACAATTATGTTGTTGCTTTCTTTTGCTAAGTATCATTCAATTATAGATGATGATTAACGTTCATGTTAGTGCATGACTGAATTTTAAAAAAGAAATAATGAAATTTCATGAGAACACTAGAAAGAATATTGAACCATTGTTATATTAGCAGCTTAATTTCTTACAAAATATTTTATAATGCAAGAATAAAATGTTCAGTATTAACATAGATAATATATTTTAGTAGGCAATGCTTTTCGGGTGCTATTAAATTTTTACCAGGCACAATATTCGATAGAATTTTGATATTTTTCAGAATTCTATTAAAATGATTAATCGAGCTTACAACAAATAGTTTCCTTAAAAATTTGACTTCAGCATTTATCAAACAAAATACATGTTTGTTTTGTCGGAATATTTCATAAAGAACTAACTAACTTTCATTTTTTTGAGATAATCTCTTGCCTCGAAACAAACTAAGGTTTCCACTCTGATGTGTGCTTATACGCAGATGTTAAAAAAGCATTCATATTGATTCTAGTACAATACGTAATCAGTACTGAGGCGTTGCTTTTAATTTATAAATCTACGAAAAGAAAAAAAATTGTCTTATCGAAAGATCAATTGTTCTATTTAGAAAAAAACGCTGAAAAACAGCTCCTGTGAAATTCTTCTAATTTCTGGTTAGTGTTTGTCATTTGTTTTTACTATTAGTCTTTTAAAAGTATGTGATGAGAACGAGAGCGATTTCACACAAGTTTGATCTTACAAAATCAAAGAATTAAAATATTATCGATTTTTTTCCATGAAAAACAAGCGTATACATTGCATGATTATTATTTCCAGTAAATGGATAAACAACGTTATAAATTCGCAAAACAATATGACATCATTTATTGCTTTGTTAATTATGTTCTAAGCAATAGGATTGTTTTGATAAATAATTGATGCTAAGCCCTGAGAAGAAAAAAACTCACTCTCTTTTATCTCTATCGTTATGGTATCGTATTGCCATTAAGCAATGACATACCTAATTGGTGTGAGAAAACTATTAGAATATTTTAACAGCAACTAGATCATTCTTTTCCATATTGTAATCGAGTAATAAAGTGTAGAGGTTTCTACCAATTGATTTATTACCCTTGATGTTTTAGGATCATTGCAGTTGGAATATCGAAATTCTAAGCATACTTGTTTTTATTAAAAAAAAGTCAATATGAAAATGACTCTTTAATTGATATGTCTACATATTTCACATGTGATGAACCATTTTAAGGAAATCATTGAATCTCATGAGTCGAAAAAAAAATCGAAACTGTATCCAATTCAATTACATGACACATATTCATCATCGTGTCACTATTTCAATCCAGACAACAACAACAACTATACTTCATATATATATATATATATATATATATGTATCTAATAGACATTCGTGCGTGCGATATTGATCTTTGATTTTGAATCTCACTTGACTCAGTCAATCATTGAATTATGACTTATATGTGAGTGTGACGAATAGTAGTTTTACTTTAACACTTCGTAAAAACGAAAAAGAAAAGTAAATGTATTTCTTCTTCTTTTTTTTGCTTTAGAAAAATAACCTAGGCAGCCGTGTGAATATATATAAACACGTTCTCTTGATGGCTTAGAAATGTCGCTATTCGGAACTTTTAATTGGACGAGCATCGATAAAAAATTCCTATTACTATTTACCGAAACATGAGAAATCATAAGAGACAAAATAAGAAACCTTTGCATTTAGACTAAGAATATCAATAATTAGCAAAAAGATAAATATAATATTTTCGTCTAAAAATCTTCAAATATATATATATACGAAATAAAGATAACACTTCAATGAGCGATGATTTTTTTTGCTTTATTCAAGTGTGTACAAGCAAAATAGTGATGAAGCAAACTGAAAGTGTCTTTTTCTCTAAAAGGTTTCCTCATTCCTCCACTTATTATTAACGCAAGTAAGAACAAGAAAGGTGTATATTTGTATGTCTATCTGTCAAGTACTATGCGAATAAGAAAACTGAAACAGAATATTACACATCAATTTTCGAAGCCAATAAATATTCTTATTTATACGAACTACAAATTTCAATATAATACATGAGAACGTATGAGTATGATCTAACAAGTAACTTGTTGTTTTTTCTCAATCATCTACATTCTTATGGAATATATTCATATTCTCATCCTGCACTCTTAACTCTTTCACTTGTCTTATTTTCTAAAAGCATGGGAAAGAATGTGCGCATATTCACTCAATTAAAACAAATGCCCATACGCTACGCACTTTTTTCTTCATATCGGATCACATCAAACGAAACCTCTATGCATTTTATAATGGGCAAGCCGCTGATAAAATACACCGAAAAATATGATGGGCAGGACATTGGTGAGAAAACGATGTATGAATCCCATCCTTGACAATCAAATTCAATGCGTTGACAAATAGACTATTGTTATTAGCATTGACACAACAACGAATAAAAGAAATCTTTGATGCTCTAAGTTCAAAATAGGTGGCTATGCAATGAAACCTTTGGAGAACACCAGCTAAATGCTTGTCTAATTCTTAGTTTACCCAGTTGAAATACAATGAATTATTAAGTCGACATCAAAAAGAGTACGAACAAAAAAAGTACGCAAAACTATTTCCTTTTTTCTCTTCTCTTTAATTGAAATGTACACTGGCGTGTTAATGCATTTTTAAACAACCAATAGATATAGAGAGTCTTATCGATCGTCATTGGTTTGTGCTATCGTTTATATTTGCTGAGTCTTCATTTTTTCTTCTTCTTCGTTATTTTTTTTTACAGTAATTATCAAAATAATTTCATCGTCACGCTGTGCGCGCGCGCTCAAACGCGTGGTGTCAATCAATGACAATGATAGCAAAAAGAAAGGGAAGAGAAAGAACGAGATATATGATATTTATTACTAGAGGCAATCGAAAAAAGTTCTAAGTAAAACATCTCTAGTTTCTAATATACAGAAATTTTTTTTTCTCCCTTTTGATTGCTTTTTTTTGAAAGAGTGGTGTAACATTATTACTCCATTTGCTTGCCAGAACTCGCGCGCCGCCGTGTGTGTATATGTATACGCGCACATACAAACACACAGGAAAGGCTTCTCATGGTATAAAATAAACATCTATCTCTCGCACGCGTCTCTCGTTCGCGCAGGTATGCTACCGAACAGTGTCCAATCGTTTTTTTTCTTTCTCTCTCTCTCTCTCTCTCTCTGCTTTTCTTTTCGTTAGAAGAAACAGAGAGAGTGCAAAAGCGAAAAGCGAAAAAATCTTCATCAAATTGCTATTAGACGTGTGCTGTGACGGGTGACATTTCGAAAATCGATATAAACGTATATACACATATACGCGTAGTTGAATCTTACCAATATACTTTCTCACTCGTTTGAACTAAACTATGATGTTAACGTGTGACTATTCCGACTCATCGGAACAATCTTCAAGAAAAGTTAGTTCTATCAATTGTTGTTTTATTTTCAACACCTTATCTTTGCTTTTTTTTCCTTCTTCATATAGTTTGCTAAGACATGTGTCGAAAAGAAACGCCGTGATCGTATTAATAAAAGTCTCGATGAATTAAAAGATCTTATGGCTTTAACGGATGAGGTAAATTCGAATTTATTTTTCTGTTTGTTGTGTTTTAAATGAAGTTCTTTTGTTCCTCTAGAGAGCAAGATATCAAAAATTAGAAAAAGCCGAAATACTTGAAATGACTGTAAATTATATTCGAAATTTAAAACGTCATATGCATAATTCAGCTGACGATTATGAAAATGGTTATAAACAATGTTCGGAAGAAATGTGGAAATTAATTTATTCATCACCCAATATCATTCCTGAACAACGTGAACGTCTAGCAAATCGTTGTCGACAAATGTGGACAAATCGTCGATTTGCTAATCATCCATATCAACGACGAACAACACCATCATCATCATCAACAACAGGAGCAGTAAACGAACAATATTCACAAAAACAATCATCATCTCATCTTAAAATTCTTGTTAATCATTCATCAATAATAAATCCTAGTAATCCATGTTCTTCATTATCATCATCGTCATCATCATCATTATCAAATCGCTCATCTAGTTCTCTCAGTCCATCATCACCAAAACTTTGGAAACCATATATGTAAATAGACACGAGAAGAACCTAATCACAGTGATGAATGATTTCGTTTTCTTTCTTTCTTTTTTGTATGTGTGTATGTGTGTTTTTGAATATATAGATATATATATATATATATATATAAATTATTCAAACAGATTATCATCTAATAGTCGTGAGAAATATGCTAAAGAAAATAACATTATTTTTTTAACATCTACAAAAAAATCTTGAGAGCAATTCTTCTTTCTCCTTCTCGTATTCGATCACTTAACAAGTATTTTTTGTTAATATCAGTTCATGGTGAGCAACATTGAGATAATGATGAAAAATGTGTTAAGAATCCATCATTTTCCTTTTCGCTCTCGGAGATAATTGAAGTCGAAAATAAGATCTACGTATATAATGAAAAGTAAAGTGTGCTTGCACAATCAACTAACACCTAGTTATTGATGCTTCTAGTCTTCATTCGTTTCTTTTCTTTTTGCATATTCAACATTATGATGACCTATAAAAGTTGAATATGATGACAGTCAGCCAGCCAAATGGATCCATTGATGGATACACATTACAAATAACGGGTAGGTGTGTGTGTGCATATATATAATGACTACTAGTACTACTTGGTGTGTTATTGTTCGTTCGTCTTTAACAAGAACAATCGTCTATATGTTGATAGGATGACTACATCACAGTTATTTTTCTTTTACGTATTTTATTTTTTTGCTGAATGGCATAATGATACTCGTGATTTTTCATTATTTGATATTAGCCGACTAGTTGTAAGATACGTCAATATTTTGTTGTCTTTTACTCTCTGATGAAGTCATCCATCGTCTTGTGACTTGTCTTAACATGCAAAGAAAAGAATAGTGATCTATTACGTAATTGAATCTGATTCTTATATATATATATATATATATGAGAAGCACGACATACATGAAAGAAGTAGGTGCGTGCGTGTGTACATATATATATGCTCATCCTAATATATATGAGCGCGCGCGAGAGCGGTCTTTTACCCACTAAAATTATGATGATGATCAATACACAAAAGATAAGAATACAATAGATGTTGACATCATCTATCGAATGAATGTACACACCTATTTTCTTCCTTTTTCTCTTTTATAAAGATTATTTGCAATTGATTTTTCTTTCCCAGAAGACGATGACGTTCTTTTGATGTGTGTTTTTCGGCGCCTGAAGAGTATTCTTGAACGGGCGTACGCGCGAACAAGTGCGATCAGACAAGATCGATATTGAGATTGTCATAGTTCACTGAATGCGAACATGATGCATGATCATAGTTTCATAATGTACAACAAACAGCTTGTGATCACTTGGGATCTTTCTTAAACAAGCCTCTAGGCTTATTGTTTTATTCAATAGAGAAAAACGAAAACAACTACTTGATTCCGTTTAAATGAATCAAGCAGAAAATAAAACTATTCACATTTTTATACAATCATTAACCAATTAGATGTTAAAACCGGATATGCAGACAATACATTCCAAAAAAAAACAAGCTGTCTTTTTTCAAAACAAATAACAAATGACATACTTAACTCATCATCATCATCATCATCATCATCATCGTTGACGTTTTTCGTGTGAATTGACCATACACACTATTATCATGCTTGCGTGCATTCGAAATCCGTAAACGATCGAATGCCTATCTATACACGCATACATTCCAATCTCTGCACATTATTGAGATAGACAGAACATATCACTAGAACGATCATGAGTCACGGAAAACGAAATTATTAATATATTCATTTGACATGGCTAAAGTATTCTTGTCGAAATCAATTTAGATATTTTTATCTTTCAATATCGACTGAGTTCGCACACACAAAGATCAAAATGCCGGCATTTTTCATCGACAATATATTTATAGAAATGAACAATAGTGTCGCATGTCTAATTAAAGTAGTACCTGGGTAGTGTACATGCATGCCCAACTTTTCAATTATCACCTTTCGTCTGAGAAAATGAACAACAGCAGTATTTGTCTGATGTGTACAGTTGAGCTTGTCGTTCTTTGAAAATCGATGCGCCCACTACGTTTCAAGTCACTACCCACACATATAGGGTGTGCTTTGATTGTTTTTATTCTTTCGTTTTTTTCTCTTCACTGTCGTCTTATATTCACAATAGGTGTGTACGTGTGGTATATGTTTGATCTTTGCTTGAACCAGTGATTGTAGCTGTCAAATGAAGAAAAGACGACAGAACTCACTGGTGACAACAACTCTAAAGGGAATCAAATTCCCAATTTGTCAATAAAAAGAAGTGCTAGAAGATCGATTGTTAATATATTCTATTCTCTTCAGATGTGTTCATTTTTCTCACCAAAAGTTTTTTTCGTTAATTTTCGAGAGAATTTCAATATTGAGATATGGTCTTAGTGATATCGGAAATACCATTGTAGTATTGCTCATGAGTCAATTATCGCTTGAGGGAGCTAACACTTAACAATTATGCATTGTCATTGTCGTGTGTATATGAATGTTCATAAGTTCAAAGCTATCGGTCGGCTATTTATTTCAATTTTATTATAATTCTGCCCGCCATCCTACCTCTTCCCTGTGTTCCCATCCATGTGAAGGAAGTCGAATTTAATTCTATAAAGTGAACATACGTCTATGTGTAAAAGTATGTTAGTAAAATGTCTCTTATCATCAATATAACAAAACAGCGAATGCACTTGAATGAGCATCGTTATTTTCGCGTTTGTAGTTTTTCTTTTTCCGACATAGAACTTCAATGTTTTACTAATGTTCAAGTGTCTGCGCACTCAGTAGGCGGAGCGCGTGAATACAGAACGTATACACATTTATCACAGCAGTCTTAGTAATACGAAATTCACCTGCCTGCTGTTACTCATTGAGGAGTTCTTTTTCTTTCTTTTTTTGTTCATATTGTTTTGATCTTTTCCGATTTTCTTTATTTTTTTTTCTCTTCTATTTACATTTCTCAACATGAAAAATGATATGCATGCATTATCTTTTAAAATATTTCTTTTTTCTATACGTAAAATTCATGCATACACGTGCAGCATTGGGATATTCATGATCGACGACGTGTGTGCATAGGCGTCTCCTTCTTTGATCTCAATCGTGGGAATCACATCTTCCGTTCTCATCGTCACATCTCTTACGTGTATATGCATAGTGACAAAAGCCGGTTAAGTTTGACCATCTCTTTCCTTGTCACACCTTCTATATTCAGTTAAAAGAAACGATATGTGGACAGTACAGATTAAAAGAAAAGAAAGAGATTGGTTATTCGATACTCGATTGACCAATACAAAACACGAGACTCAACGAAAAAAATAGAACGAGAAAAAAGAGAACGGTAAAAAAAGGTTGAACTTGTTTTTTTCTCTTTCTATATATATATATATATATATATCGGCAGTTCAATATTCAATACGACGCGAGTCAGACACAAAAATAATGTATAACACAAGTGGAAGCGATATTGATGTAGAAGAATTAGAATATCATAATGGTTCACGTAAGGTAAGAAAAACAAAGTAACTTTTTTTTGTGTTTATGAATCTTAATATTTTTTGGTGTATTTATTAGATTGCAAAAACTTATGTTGAAAAAAAACGACGTGATCGTATTAATCGAAGTTTAGATGAATTAAAAGAATTATTAGCTATTCATTGCGATGTAAGTAAATCATGAAGAATAAGAAGGCAAAAACTTTTTGTTTTTGTGTATTTAGAAAGCGCGTTATCAAAAATTAGAAAAAGCTGAAATACTTGAAATGTGTGTTGATTTTGTTAAACAAACAAATGGACATTTAAATTCTATAAAACGTAATTATGAATTAGGCTATCAACAATGTACAACTGATGCAGCCAACTTTCTTAATACAATACCTGAAATTTCATTTATCGAACGGCAGCATCTTTTAAATCATTTATCGACGGCAAATAATCGTCGTTTTCACCCATATAGAAAGTCAACAAGTCATCATTCAATTGTTAATGAATGGTTTAATCGTTGCGGTGGAAAACAAAAATCTCTCGCTGATTCATCGTCATCATCCGAACGTTCGAACACATCTAGTCCATCGTCATCTTCTTTGGACGATAATAGTGAACGTTCATCAACTCTTTGGAGACCATGGTGAAATTTTTTCTTTTGTGTTTGTAGTATATCTTTTTCTTTTTTTTCTTTTCAAAAATATATAAATCTTTCAAAAACAAAATTACATCTACTATCTTTCTTACTCATGATAAAATACAAACACATTTCCGACCATTTTATCTTAATAGCAGGTGTTCTACACGTGTATGTTTTTCTACTCAATAGGCGCCATTTAAACCCATTATCAGAGGATGTACATGACATAATCATTACTTTTTTAAGTTGATTCTTGTTTTTTTCAAACGGTCAATAGCATCTGCTTTTTTGTTTTGAAAGAATGTAAAGAATCTATTTTGTTATTTTTTCTAATTATATATACATATACATAAGTATGTATGTTCCGTTGATTGTACGATAATTACTTGACGTATATATTGTATTCAAACACGTGAAGCCTCAATATTATTGTTTGTGTATATATCATCTCATTAACGCTCGGAGAAAATTCATATTAAATATACAAAATTATATCGTGTAAACGATATGATCTCTTAGCTAAATCATACATATATATATATATATATATACGAAAAGACATGGAGATCGATTGCGTCAGTAAACATAAGTCTAATCATTTTGATCAATAAAAATCGAGCTTTCAATTTTGTAACTAAAATAATGTTGACTTTTCACAACATTGATATATCTTACGTTCATTAGAGATCGAAAAAGATAAACAAACAAAAAGAGGCATGTCCCTTTTTGTTTTATACTTTATTAAAAATAAGAACATGTTGATAAGGAAGAGACTCAACAACTTGTGATAGAGCAAATCTATTGCATTCAAATTCAAGTTTTGCTTGCAGAAAAGACATTCGATGATCATTGTACATGCTAGGCATCCAACTATCTTCGGAACGATATTCAACTAGAACAATTCGACCATTGGGTTTCAATGCTTGATGTAATCCACGTAGAAGCGCTGGCGGATCTATACATTCATGGTATGTATCAACCAAAATAATAAAATCGCAAGAATTAGGTGGAAGATTGGCATCAAAATGAGAAGATACTATAGGTACAATATTATGTGATACACCTGCCATTGCGGCACTCAATACTAATTGATTAAGCATTTGAGGTTGAATATCAGTTGCCAGAACACGCCCATAGGGTCCAACTAAACGAGCAAGGCGTAATGAATTGAAACCAACACCAGCACCGATGTCGGCTACAACCATACCTGGTTGAATATTGAGTAGGGCAAATAGAAAATCAGGATATTCTAATAGTTCACGACCGAAACGCATTAAATGATGATCATGGTAATACGGCATGACTTCGCCAATTAAGCGGCCCATGTAATAATTTCGCCCATATTGTTGATAGGGATATGAAGGCCAAAACATCTTTTTTTCGCTGCCTTTCAAATTTTACCTGTTTAAACTCTGAACTTGGATGGTGTTCAAAAATTATGTCGAGATAATTTTTAGGCGATAGAAAAAAAAGCGAAATTTTTAATATTTGTTTGTTATCGTTGTTTTTCTTCTAATTTCTAAAGAATGACGATTTAATAATTGAAGAATGTTGACTTGTTTGCATGGATTGTTTTGATAGTGATAGAAAAAGACAATAAGAAAACATAGATAACAATAATATTCATCGAGATCATTGTCAGGCAATGTTTTTAAATCGTTTGCAGGTCGATCGATTGTTTAGTTTGCTCATTCTTAGAATAGCTCATGAGAAATCAATGTGCTTCACTGTATTGTTGCTTGAGAGTAGAAGCCATTGATAGATGACACTTTTGAACGGCAAAGTTAATCATTGAGTTCTTTCGAAACTTTATAATTAGTTATCTGTTTCTATGTGATAGAATTCTCTGATCAATTTTTCTTTGCTTTCATTTTTATGTTTCAATTATGAAAATCTTAAAACTTTTCCTATTCATCTAATAAATTTTCAGCCTAAAGTGCATTACTTATTGGAAACTAAAATAAAGAAGTAAGTTTTGATAATGGAAGTATCAAATATCTTTATTTTTTGAATTTCCATAGATCCTGTCACCTAGACCGATGATTTTTTCATCAACGAGAGAAATAGTTCAAATGATTTCCTCATTGAAAGCCCTATACCATAAATTTTATTTTTAAGATCAATTTGAATCGCAGTGTTGTAATATTCATGTTAATGCAGTCTAAAAGTAGAAGGAAAGAAAAAAAAGTGAAAATCTATAATATTCGAACAATGTTCGATAGACGACTTACAGAAACGAACTATTAAATAGAAAGAAAGGCGGACAGACATATACACATATAAATGCACTTATAACATAACCTTGATTTGTGTAAAAAGGACTTTCATATTTTCTCTTAAGGATATTCTAAAATGCTTGAAGCGGTGTTGCGTTTGAATCAGATATATACCATAAACCATGAAATAGAGTAGATTGTGTGCATTTTTCTCTTCATAATATCTCAATGAATATCTTGTAGAAATACGTAAGTTAAATTTTTTAATGATTTTGCATTTCATTAATTATATGATCAATTTTTACATCATATATTTTTTATTGAGAGATTGATTTCTAAGATACTATGATGATGAAGTAACTCATTGAGAATATCATCAATTAATTTGTACACCAATAGAACCTATTTAACAAGAATTAAAAGTAAAAAAGGATATCATTTCAGATATATGATCAGTCTCTATTATAAGTTTGAAACCGTACTTCCATGGAGTATTTTAATGTAAAAAAATGTACTATTAAACAGCAGTGTTTGTTAGACATGTCTGTTTGTAACTTTCAGCTATCGTTATTCAATGACCTCTTACTGTCTCAGTTAAAAGACACGTATCAACTTACCCTGGAGCGCTCACAAAATTTATGCATTATTACTTTTGTGGTAAATATCTGAGTTGAAAAATAATACATCATCTCGAGGGCGAAAAAGTTTCTTTCTAATTGCCCGAATTTTTATTTAATTACAATCAAATTTTATTTTCATGAATCAATTAGTTTTCTATCAGGAAATTTTTGAAATTTCTTTTTTAACAAAATAGCACAGAGTCTGTTTTTTGTCATTAAAAAGTTTTTGAAAAATGTCACGCGACTTTTTTTCTAAACTTGTTACCAAGATGAGAGATTTTCAATTAATGTTTTTGTCGATAGTATTAAGGAAAAAGATGTAATTAAGAGATTTTCTTTCAATCACTGCGAATCATTCGCTACTAGCCGTTTCCATTGTTAACTTATTCAAAGAAAATCTATCTCTATTTTATTCTAATACTGATAGTCAGTATCAAAGATTTATGCACGTTTGTCACGTGGATTTATTTCGTTAAGCTCTCGTATATCAGTCCTTACCGAAATCAGATCATAATTCAGTAAATAGTATTATACTTAAGAACGAGAAAAAAAAGAATTATCCTGCTTTTTTTGTTTTTTAAAATATCATTAATCTCAGTCAAAATAAATCACTTATCGAATCGGATTTCTCATATCAAGGATGCTCTCGACAAATAAAGAAAATGAATAACCTTGGCTTGTATAGCAAATATCTTATTTTTATGTTGATTATTTTCTATAATTTCCATGGGATCTATTCCTGTGGTTGCTATGGATCAGCAAGTTGTACTCTAAATGGAACTCAATGTAATTATCAATCGAATGAATCGTGTTTATGTGATTGTTGTCCGCCCTGTAATACTTGTGAACAATTTCTAAAATTCAATTGTTTAGCTAGTCGATACATAAAACATTACACTTTATCTGAAAATAAATCCGATATTATAACTAAAATAAATGTACGAATGAAACCAGAATATATTATTGATGAACGAACTGGAGGTGTAGTTCCGTATCTTTGGGATCCCTGTTTACGTCGATTACTTCCAAATGGTATTTATTTAAAAAATGATAATAATGGAAAATATAAATTAATTGGTGTACCGAAAGAAAAATTAGAAAAAACTTATTTTGAAATTTTATTTAAAGGACCCGTTAGTCAGATTGTCACAGTTAGTTTTACAATAACCATCCTTTAAATAAATTAGGTTATATTTGTTGGTTTCCGTTTCAAAACGTAACGTGCAGCTAATGATGATACTGATTGTCTTCTTGTCAGCAGTCGTTCTACACGAAGAAGGTCGCCGAGTGCTGCTTGAAATCGTACGAACTCAACAAATGATAAACTAAGGCCGTGCCTACGACAATCATTTCTCAGTTGATTTATAATCGTATGCGGTGCACTCATTCGAGATACATGAGCAAGTGCGAGTAAACTACGGCCATCATAAAGTGTTAAAATTTTAGTGAAACTATTCAAGTTATTTTTTGCACACCATTCAAGTACTTCCCCTTTCGTCCAACTTTGAATTCTTTTTAATGGTGGCCTTGGCGATAGAATAGGAGGTTGTTGTTGCAGTGATGTGCTCAGTGAGAGTGTTGGAGTTGAAGAAGTTGATGTTAAATTAATATGAATATTTTGATGAAGAGGTGAAACGATTCGAGCGTGCTTCACAATAGCTGGTAAATTATGATTATTATTTAAATCAATCTGAATTTCAGACATCATTTTTTCTATGCTTGATTCGTTGGTATTGAAAAGTTTTCTCTCGTCAATATTCAGCGAACAGAACCAATCGTCGAAACGGTAAGGTGCTTTTACAGTACATAGAAAGATCTTTTTACAATCGAGTATAGCTTGTCGAATTGCTGCTTGACATGAACAATCATGTTTAGATTCTTCACTTATGCAGAGAAGAATCTCCAGTGAATTTTGTACTGTACCAATACGAAAACTAGATTTTTCAAGATATTCGTGAACCTTTTGAATAACCAAGTAATCTTTTCGAGATGAAACAACAGCAATATCACAGGATAGCGGCTGTTTTATTGGTAGACGAGGTACATTTTTTATTTGAACATTTTGTAATATACCATAGGCAGCTGGCATTTCTGATAATGATGATAATTTTTTAAGAAAATTATCGTGTCGCATAATCAATTGTTCTACAATATCCGAATGAAATGAAAGTTTCCAAATAATTTCATAAATAATCGGGTGATCGTCACTTAATTCGATCAAATTTGTTAGTTGATAAGTGTCTACAATAACCGATTGTATTTGTGTATGAATTGCTAATGATAAAAAACTATGAAGGATATCGTTTGCTCCTTCTTTGCATTTATCTAATAGACTTATAAATTTCATAGTTAATTTATAACTGATTCGGAGATGATCTAATTGTTTTTCACTAACAATATGTCCAAGTAGAACACACGCACTTTTATTTAATCGTAAATCAGTTTGATTTGTTACATATTGAAGAAGCTTGTCAACCAGTTGATCACTATTTAAATAACAAGCAACTGTTTTTGATTTTATACAAAGAGAATTAAATATTTTTAAAATAGGTAAAAGAAAATTATTTTTATGATTTTCTTTTGCAAATTTCGACGATGCATTGATAAATATGGATCTTAATATTGATATGCACGAGTGATCATTAATTAAATATGCATAATCTAATTGAGCAAGTATACCTAATGTACAAGACTGTAAAGCAATATTATCTGTTAGATGTTTTCCATTATAGAATTTCATAAAAAACTCTGCATAGATCTTATTAAATGTTGGATTATGAATTGGTATAGCACATTGACCAATAATGCCAACAAAAAATACATGAATCGGTTTAATGGTTGATGATAATATTTCAGCTAAATATTGTTTATAATATTTTGACTGCATGATTTGTTTAGTTATTCGATCGAAGACTGTCTTGGAATTTTCTATCACGGTATACGCATCGATTAAAATTGAAAGATCACTAAGGAAATTATCTTGATGTCGAGCATTGGTTTCAACGATTGATTCCATGATTGATGTAATTAATTGTATCATTTCGGAATTAAATAGAAGATTTTCGATACGTTCAAGTTCATTTTTATTTAAATGATATCTGCTTGTTAATAAACCTATTTTACGATTAAGATAACCAACATTTCTAATATATAACGATGATTGTGCATCGATTATCTGCTGACTATACCATTCAGCAAGAATTGTACGTGCATGAATTTCTATTTCATCGAAATAGGATTTATTTAAATGTGCAATTAAACATCTATCACCATCATGTAAACTTATAGTAATATAACTATTCAAATAATCTAGGTACGATAAAGATGACATTATGTTCGATACCATTATTCCGTTAAATCTTCATGATTATAAATATATAAATCAAAGACTATGTAACACTTGTTAAAAATACATCAATACTTTATAACATATTTCGCAGTCATAAAAGCAATTCTCCTGCAATGCATGCTTTCACATATGTATATAAAGATGTAGTCTTCGTTTGTCAAATACATAGATAAAAATGGTTTTATAACGATGTATATTTGAGTTTGATAGTGGCTATATGTACCTTTTTGAAAAAAATATATTGATAAGCTTATTTTAAAAGAACAAGTAATAAAGGAGAGAAATATTCCTTTTTTTTATGATTAACTTTAAAGATAAAATAGCAAGTATTTGTAAAAGAGATTCTATTCTTTATTTTCGATATAACTAATGTTGTCAAGGTTTCTAATCGACAAGTCTCTTATGTTTTTTTTTCTTTCTCGATTAGATAGAACATGATTTCTACTGTGAAAAGATGTATATCATGCACACGAGAAAGATTCATAATGGAAGAAAGTATTTTGAAGTTTTATTGCTCGAATCAGTTACTTAAATCAATTATATTCTTATGAGAAAATTATCTCATTAAGAATATATTATAAATCGCATCCGATTTGTTGATATAATCTGCAAAAATCGATTTAAAGCAGGTTAATTCTAAAGCACAATTTTTTTGTTTTCTTTCCAATAGAACCAAACATAAAGTACTTCTTTGAAGGGAGAAAGATCCATCCCGAAAAAATATTTTTCTTGTAAAAATCAATTACAGTCTATTTCTAATTGAGTATTTTTTAATTTTATTTAACTGCAATTGGTTTCCAGTTTTAGAGGAAACATTATAAATCTCAAATAATATAGAACCTTTAATCTATATCTTTTATACACATTTAATAAAGAATTTTTTCTTACAAATAAATTATAATGGACTGAAAAATAAAATAATTATTATCGAATTTTTCTTTGAATGAAACACGAGTGATATAAAAATAAATAACATAAATAATCCTACTCCCAACAATGACAAGCACTCATTGCGAAAAGATTCTATTGACCAAAGCATTAAATAATTTTATTAAATAAAATGTTACCTTTTACTTGAATAATTTTCATAAATGATTGGACTTTACTTTCATCAAGTATTAGTGGAAATGCATGATTAAGATCTCAGGGCATACCCTCGCCAGGATCCTATCGGTTTCAAAAAATGCCTATTGTGCCTGATGATAGTTGCCGGAATCCTTGCTACCTGACTCCGATCAGATCTGGGAGCAAGGATTAAATAACCGAGAATCTTCCATTGAAATCTTGTAAATTTCATTAGTTAATGCGGAATAAATCGATGGTGATAAACGACTATTATTATTTCATGAAGAACTCATTTTTATTGTCGAATAAATCGCCGGAAATATTGTAGTCGAAAAAAGATTTAAATATATAATTTTAGTCTACATAATGAAATTTTTATTTCTTAAAATCATTTGAAAAAAAAACAGAAAAATATATTAAAAAGAATAAATTAACAATACCAAAAGTATAAGAAACATTGAAAGAAAGATGTTACAAAAAAATTAATAAAAGAAAATTGAAGATAAACGAAAAACCTGAAAAAGTTACAAAGAAAAGGTAAGAAAAAGAAGAAAAAAAAGTGAAAGTTACAATAACTAGAAAGTATTATGGAAAGCAAACCTTCGATTGTTTGAACGCTTTGAAAATCAAATACAGGTGTCATACTAAAATGAATATAAAAAATGAAATTAACTTTTATTTATTGGTAGAATTAAAAAATATAATTACAAATTATTTTACTGAAAATCATATAGATCTAAATCATACTAGTTTCTCGAGAAAAAAACAAGTATTTATATTCTAGAGTGTGTTTTTCCCCTCTCTTATGAATCTCTCGCGAAAAATATAGTTTGAATCGGCGGTTTCTTTCTTTTCTTCTCATTTATCCATATTTTCTTCATTATTCATTCAAGACAACCCTGTCGATGCTTATATCGACACTTGACGTACAAAGTAGAGTCCTGCAGGTCAACTTTGCCCTACCCTACCCTACCCTGCCCTGCAGGGCAGGGTAAGGTTACAAAAAAATATTTAGGGTATAAGTGGGGTGTAGCTCATACAAATAAAAATTTTATAGAGTAGAACTGAATATATATTTCTGACATCTTTTTGATCAAAAACAGTGTAAAGAGTGATATCATAATCTAAATCGAATGGGTAGAATAACAAAGAACGGAAAACAATGGCCTATTGTTTAGTACTATTTTTACATAAGCTGACGAGTTTAGTCACTTTTGATTATTTGTCGAGTAAATGTGCATGTAAATGTAATAAAAAATGTCTTCGAAATCATCTCGACATGAACGTATTTTTAGTACAAACGGGCGAGTTTTGGAAGAGAGAAGGCAAAATTTAAGTGGTGATGTTGTAAATGACATTTTATTTTTAAGAAACTTTCGAAATATTTATTAATTTTGTATTTGATTCTCGTTGAAAATCAATAAAATATATTGAAACAAATTAAAGAAAAACTTCATACTGACTTTTACTTGGACCTGAAACTCTAAGGATATGATAGGGTAGGGTAAGGGTGCAAAGCCCCTAGGGCAGGACAGGGCAAAGTTACGAAGTCTATAGGGCAGGGTAGGGCTAGGTTAAGAGCGTCGGAGGACAGGGCAGGACAAGAGTACAAAGTTTTACGATAGGGCAGGGTTAGGGTACAAAAAAGTCTTAACCTACAGGAGACTCTACACAATACCTGCTGCACAGTACCAAATATATTCAAGAGCTAAAATAAGAGATGAATTTTAGAACATTATGTTTTCTTTTATAAAAAGGAAATCCTCCTCGATCATCTGTTTGTGCTTCAAAAAGTTATTTCTCGTTCAGAATGAGTTAGATGTTTCTAGAGAAAAAACAGATTTTATGTTAAAGTTGAATTTGTAGATATTTATGTATGTCCAAGATCCAGAACACTTTGATGAGGAACAACCGGCAGGAGCGTAACCAGAAATTTTTAAGGAGGGGAGAGGGTACTCGTGAGCAGCAAAAACCCTTTATCCTTGCGAATAATTTGTTAGCCCTCTATCAACCTCTAGATATTTTTTGCCTACAGAGGCGCCCTTGCACCTAGAACACCTACATCCACCCTAGGTTTTTTTTACAGAGTATTACGACGATGGGAAACTTTAAAAAATCAAGTTGGTTATGTTGAATAATCTCGTCGTCGTACATCATTTAACTAGTGAATCAGATGTTGATAATGAACAAAATGAGAAAACAAGATCAACAATAATAAAACCCCATGGTATGGCAGTCATTCCGAAGAACATACATCATTAATACGTGTTATACCACAGCGTGTACAATATAGTAAACGTAATAATTTAAAATTAGCTTTCAGGGAATTTTATTTGATGCTTGTTTTGTTACAAAATTATCAAACATTAAATTTTACTGGTTTTCAAAAAATATTAAAAATAGCCTGAGAAATTATTTCAAACAATATGTGGCAAAGAATGAAAGTAAAAGCATTTTAATCTCTGGAAAATTACATATTGATTTAGCTCCATTGCATATATCAAAACGTGTTGAACAATTTAATAAATGATGTTGAAACAGTTTATTCTGAAGCACTTGAAGAAGGTGATTGAGCGCGTGCAATGAAACGTTTACGTGATGAACCATTAGAAGAAAAATAATTACCAGCAATTAATTTTCGTGTTGGAGCTTTTGTTGGCAAAGAATTCTTTTTGTTGTTAGACATGAATTTATAAAAAAAAACGAATTTTTTCTTAGGAATGATTTATATTTTTATTTTCGGCTGTTACTATTCTTGGTGCAAATCTTCATGATAGTCAATCACAAAACCACTTGCTTGACTACCAGCATTATTTCTTTATCGTGCAACATTTCTTGTTTTTCTTCATATAATTCTAGTCAGTCATCATTTGATATTAATCATGTATTAATATTTGAAATAGATCCGCGAAATCATTTAACTTATCAACAATTTTTAGCAAAAGAAATTTTTCTATTTGTTTTGTTTTATGATCTTATTTTGATCTTTATTCAACTATTTGGTTTTGTTACATTAATTCGTGTTTTTTATTTAATCCAACACCAACTATTGATCATCATGCTCGATTTCGGTTTTTAAAAACTTTGATCCGAATTATTTGTACACCATTTTATCGTGTTGTTTTTGCTGATCTTTGTCTAGGTGATCAATTAATATCACTTGAATTAATCTTTTTTGGAAATTGGATATTTCTTTTGTTTTTATATTTATGACTTTGCACGGCGACCAGTCAATTCTTCATCATCAACACGTAGTTTCTAGTGTAATGGTTGGCAACAAGTGCTATCGTATATGCACTTCTAATGATTATACCATCATGACTTCATTTTGCTCAATGTTTAAGATGATATCGCGATACAAAACAAAAATTTCCTCATTTAGTTAATGGTGGAAACTATGCTAGTGTATTATTATGATCCTCACCTTTCCCGAGATCATGTCATCACTTCTATTCTTCTTCTATGTAGTTTTCTCTTTATGTTTCTTGTCACAGGTCAAAGGAACATATATTGCTCTGTGTAATAATTCTCTCTTTCTCTCTAGTACTAACTATCTCTCTGTCTGAGTTTTTCATATAGTATATATGATGGAGTGTTTTCTTCAATAAAGGGTGTACAATAGTCAACCGTTAAAAAATAACCTTACATGTATTTTTGTAATTAGTACAAATAAAGCGGAGGGGGGGGGGGCATACGCAACTCCGGAAAAAGCTTGAAACACAGGGTAATTACAGTGAGAATACGGGTGGAGTACGCACTATGAGTTTCGCTTTTGTTCTTGAGTTATATATATCTTCTTGAAAAAATAGATATATTGATAAACTTGTTTTAAAAGAATAAGTAATAAAGGAGAGAAATATTCCTTTTTTTTATGATTAACTTTAAAGATAAAATAGCAAGTATTTGTAAAAGAGATTCTATTCTTTATTTTC